CTGATTTTAAAATAGATTTTCCCAAAAGTAAATCCAGCATATGGTAATGTATCTGTCAATCAAGTTGTAATTGCCCACCACCCACTGATTCCATGAAGAAATCCAGATGCTAAATGACAGATTGCAGTATAGATTATCAATATGGGCACACCCACCACTACCTTAATTTCTAACCCTAAACCTGGTGATCAGGACCAAAATTAAAATTTGTATAAGCTGGTGGGTTTTTCTAAAGAACAACAATGAAGGGTCCCCAAACACTGTCCTAGTCCGGACTCTTCATTATTGTTAAACCCACTTAGATAATTTCTAACCCTGTGTCTAGAGTGAAGCCCCCCTACAGCCCACCCAAATTCTGTTACAATGGACTTCAATGGTGTTCAGATTTGTGTTCTGAATTTTTTTTATTTTTTTGAACTTCCAATGAATCAACAACAGACCCGTTCAAGCAACACTTACTTAGTATATGCAAGGTGCAAATGCTGCATTTTCAGATCATTACTTGTAGTGTAATAAATGTAAACTGATGAGGGAGCAGAATCAATGGATTTCCAAACAATGCTGGTAAATGTAACATTGTCTCTATGATTAGGTTTTTACAGTTAAATTTTACTTAGAACTGCATTTACCTACTGAAAAGTGGTAAATCAAGGTGTTGGGTGAACACTGGGAAATTTGGCTCCTTTGAATGAATTTACAGTACAAGTTAATTTGCCTGGGAAATCTGTTTTAGCAATGATGTTTATTTTGCCCTAAGACTAGTGTGCATGCTATAGTTTAATAGCGTCTTTCAGAACAGCAGAATAGATATTTGTGTCCCATTTGTTCTACCTATTTTTGTTTAAGTCATATGCATCCAAAGTTAATAGGCATCCAACATGTCCAGGATGTTTTGGATCCTACCATCTGCTGCCCCAACCCCCCTATATCAGCTTGATCTGTTCCAACAACATTCACTCATTTGGTACCCAACACAGTAAGACCTAGAATTGCGCAGTGATAACTTACTCACTCAGTTATCCCAGAACTCTAGACTCCACAGCCTCATATGTCTTCACAATCAGCATTGCCCACTGACAACCCCCCCCCCCATCCTAGACAACGTCTTGCCTCATTTTAATGGACAGTAATAGATTACCTCTGTAGAGCACAAGAGACTTAGTAAGCTGACTGTAGAGACAGATGAGGCAGTGGAATCCTGGGAAGTGGTAATCTGCATGATAACCACTCCTTGACACAGATTTAAAGGATAAGTTCACCTTCTGTAACATGTTGCATGTTACACCCATATTCAGGGTGTAACATGTAACATGTTATGATCAGACTGGCCCCTGCACCCCATGATCTCCATTGTGACAGTTAGCGGGGATCTTCTCCCCCCCACTAGCTGTGCCAATTTAAAAAAATTGTGAATAAGAACACTACAAGTTCTGATAGTCTTTGCAGCTGTCGGGTTGTAGTTCTCAATGAACTACAATGGCACTGTGGAGCACCATGGTAGTTCATTGAGTCTTCCTGTCAGTAAGTATCTGCTTGCCTGTACAGGATGCCTGAACAAGCATATATACTGACAGGTCAGAGGGAGACCTGCATTGCATCAGTCAGCTGCTGATTGCTGGTGCAATGCTTTAGAGGCTCCACATATAAAAAAATAATAAATGTGCATTTTTTTAACTGTGAAAAAATGTGCATTTATTATTTTTTGTTAAAAGGTGAATTTAGCCTTTAATGTAAGAAATAAACCTGCCAAAATTCTCCACATCTATATTTGTTCACATATTCCCACAGAAACGCTTCCCTACATTTGAAGGCACTTTTTGTGTGACTTCCATTACCTCATACTGGCTTTTGCTTATTATGGACACCTGAATCTCCACTGTTTTCCTTGACTCTACCTATATTTTGATGAGAGATGAGCTGAAAGTGTAAATTCCCCACTGAACAAATTCCCTCATAAGAATTTCCCCTGTGTGACATACCCGCCCCCCAGGATAGCCTCTACCAATCGAATATGTTGTTTTATTATTATACCATTGAGGTCATGGGTGTGGGAATTTTCATCGCTATAACTACTTTTTCTGTTAGAACCCTATTGAATGCCATTGGGTGATCCAGGGGAAAGGAGACCAAACTCTTCAAATATTGGGGAGCGTGCTACATATTTTGATTGTACTAGATTTTTTTTTTTAAAGTAGATCACTTTTTACTAATTCACTAATAAACCAGATCAAATAATAGACTAGACCCTGCTTATCTGTACATATAAAGGTTTACCTAATTGTGGCTGTTGCAGATGAAGCGTGATGGATATGGTAAAATGCCTATTTGGTTTCCTGTTGAATATATATATTTTTCTATTCATTTTTATACATATCTACTTTTATACTTTTTCATATTTCTAAATATTTTGTATGAATATATATATATATATGTGTGTGTGTATATTTTTTGTCTGCTGGGCTTTGTAGTCCTCCTTAACTCAAAAATGTCTGCTCAGCAACTCCTCCCCGTCGAGCTCTTTTAACTATGCCCTGGATATTTGAGGGAGTAAAGAGATAACAAGCTGCAACCAAGCCTCAAGCATCAAGTTCCTGCACTATTTCTGTATTTCAGCCAACCAAGATGTGCCTTTTAGATTGTGACTGTTTCTACATAATAGTGACGTATACTCTATTGTTCTCTGTGTATAAAAGGTTAAGCACCGCCCTGCAATAAAAAGAGACTGAGTAGATGTCAGTCAGTGTGATCATTTTCCGGCATGCACGTGCATCCATACCTCAAAATTAGGAACAGTGGCAGACATCCAAACCTGAACCCGATTGTGTGGCTCAGATCCATTACAGCTGGCTGCCCATACGTGGGGCCCCAGGTTCCGACCGAAGGTTCCGACCCAGGTTCCGACTGAGTGGCTGGCCGGGGACAGACCAAGAGGGCCTGCGCAACCTTGAGAGTACAGTAGTAGTAGTACAGTATAGTAGTACAGTACAGTATTTACTCTTACCACTGTACGACTTGCTGTCCGGTCTGGCCGCAGGCCTTGTCGGCTTCCGGAGGTCGTCTAGAGGCAGGTAACCTTTATTCCTCGCCTGGGGCCGTTTAACGAACCTGCCACTGGATCTCTGCTGACTGTGTATTATTTGTTCAGTGTCTGTCGTCCTGAGGGACTGCGACTCAGCAGACTGAAAGTATAGTTGTAATTGAGTGTCCTGACTCAGGTGAGCTGTTGGCCCCTGGGAAGACGGAACCTTGCAACAAGCGTCTACGGACGGTGACTCTGGGTTGACGGTGTGAGAGACCCCTGAGGGTTAGCTCAGCTGCTGAGGCTTCGCGGCACGAGGGGCGGCATGGGTAATGTCCTGTTCTGAGTGTATTTGTGGATTACTGTTTGGCATACACGAAAGTGTATGTTCTGAGATTAAACGTACAGAGGAGATAGAACAGAAAGCAGCGGAGGAGGGATATTAACCCATTAGTTGCCCGCACTGCCCCCTGAAGCCGTTAGCCGAGAATGCAGCAAAGGAACAGAACAGAGTGAGAGAGCTTGGATACGAGTTGGGTGACTCAGAGAAAGGAGGGGAAGATGGGTCAGAAGACAGCTAAACCAGAGAAAGGACTGCTAGCATGTGATATTGTGAAGAGGAGAGAAGGTAGTGAAGCAGTTAAAAAGTTATCTAAAGTAGCGAAAGTTTGTGAGTTGAAGGACGGTACTGTCCCATTACAGCCAGAGGAGTGGCGCATGTTATTGAAGGAACAGAGAGGAATTTTATGTGATAAAGGTTTGCTGGATGTGGCAGAGGCTTGGTATAGAACTGCAAAAGCGTTACATAAAGAAGGATGGATAGAGAAGCTCAGAAAAATGGCGATTGTGCAATGTATGTGTTGGAAATGGAAACATGCCAGCACCACCACCCTACGACGGAATCTGGAACAAAGGAGGGGAGGGACAGCTCTGCCCTTTGTCTAACGCCCACTTTATTCCCACCACCCCAGCCCAAGCACAACCCACCTTGACAACTTCCTGTAGCAGCCATCTTGCTGCACCTGTATTGTCACTTCCTGCCAAGCCCAGTGCACTTCCACCTGGCGGCCATCTTGGTACACCCAGAAGGCCCAACCAAGGCATATACCCAGTTCTCCCTGTTCTAAACCAGGATGGTTCCTACCACACTCCCGTTTTCCCCAATATGGAAGTGCCACCTTTACAAGACGGACATATGAATGACGATGCATCCGAGTCGGATGACCGACAGCCGCAAGCGAAAAGGATACTGATAGGCATGACTCCCAAACCCATGCCAGGCGTCCAATTGAATGACGATGCATCTGAATGGAATGGATGATCGACAGCTGCAAGCGACAAGGGCGCCAATAGATTTGACTCCCAAACCCACGCACAGTGGAGTACAACCTAAAGAGGAACAATACACAGGACAGCCCCGACATCCAAGATTACCGGAAGGGGCACCGGTAATGTATGTCTCTTTTACCCCATCACAAGCAGCGGCCTTAGTGATGAGTCTGCCTGACCCAGAGAAACAGCCAATGCCCTTCTACTGCAGGGTAGTGCAGATGCAAGAAACCTAATCAGCCACCTGGAGAGACCTGCTCAGTCTATGCCAAATTAAAGCAGGACATGTCTTTTGGCCGGTCATGCAGGGGGCCTTCAATGATGCCTGCCTGACAAGTGCCACTTCCTATTCCTGAGGCAAGGAGTTCTGTGCCCAGCTCCACAACTGGGCAAAGGAGAAATTGGAGGATCAGACCACCACGATCCAAGACATCACCCAAGATAAAGGGGAGTCTGTGGAGAAGTATCATGCCAGACTTATACAGGCCTTTGATGATCTGGGTTTCTCTCACTATGAAAAGGCACACACACATATACTCTCAACTGCTTTTGTCTCAGGGCACAGAGAGGATATCAGAAAAGGCCTGATGGTGGCCCGTCCTGAGTACCGTTCTATGAAGATGTCCGATTTATTGTTGGTGGCCAGAGGCATAGAAAATCAGAAAGGGAAAAAAATCAACGCCCCTCATGGTGGTCAAAGACAAAGATCCCACCTATACTCGTCCACCACCACTGCCCAATATTAGGGAAAAGATCACCTGTTATAAATGTGGGAAATGGGGACACTTTAGAAGAGAATGCAGAGCCCCAAGATATCCCAGACAAGACAGGGACCCCCCGGGAAGGGCAGCGTTAACATCACCCACCACGCCCCAACTCTCGCTAGGAAATGGGCAAACCCCTTATGGCAGCATCCTCGAACATGGACTGGGAGACATCTTGCAAAGGTCACGTTACCCATACAAGGAAAACCTACCACTTTCCTCGTTGACACGGGTGCAGCCAAAGGCGTGCTGAGGGCTGAGGACCTGCCTGCTGTTTCTTTCCTTTCCATTATTGACGTTTCCTGCGTGGGTGTGGATGGGGTGCCCCACTCCAGCCCACTTACAGAGCCACTCCAAGTGGGGACATTTCCTGATTTGCTTGCCAGATTTGTGGTATCCTCTACATGTCCCTTAAATCTGCTAGGAGCTGACGTGCTGTCCAGACTGCATACCTCAATCATATTCACGCCTGAAGGGGGAGTGAAACTACATACTCCCCTATCATTAGAGGACTCCTCTGCCTTGTGCTCCTTACCCCTCATGATGACATTACATGAAGCAATAACCCCAGGTGCAATACCACAGGAAGTACTTGATAGAATCCCTGCATGCTTATGGTCCACAGGACCCGAAGACATCGGTCACTTGAAGGTGCCACCGGTTTCAGTCAAGCTCAAAGAGGGCGCATCATTGCCCCGAAAGCCACAATACCCACTTAAACTGGCGCAGTCAGCAGCTATATCAAAACATGTAGTTGCTCTAGTACAGAACGGAGCCTTGGTCCCCTGCACCTCACCGTGTAACACACCCCTCTTTCCTGTCAAGAAGAAAACACTGAAGGTGGAACCAGGCAGGTACAGAATGGTGTAGGATCTGCGAGCAGTTAACGAAGCCACGGTGTTGGATACTCCAATTGTGTCAAATCCACATACCTTATTATCAGGTGTACCTCCAACGGGCAAGTACTTCACAGTGGTGGACCTGGCCAATGCCTTCTTCAGTATGCCCCTTGCCCAAGATAGCCAGTACCTTTTCACCTTCATCCATTAGGGCCGGCAGTACACCTGGACAGTTGTGCCACAAGGAGCAATATGTCGATGACCTCTTGCTGTGTGCTGACACAGAGCCGTTAGCAGCAGATGCATCTGAAAAGCTGCTCTGGTACTTGGCCAAACAAGGCTGTAAGGCCTCCAAAGACAAACTACAATGGTGTTCCAAGAAAGTCACCTTTTTGGGCCACTGCATTTCCAAGGGCACAAGACATATTACACCGGACCGTGTAGCTGCAATCCAGGATATTCCCCAACCAAGAGCAGCTAAACAAATGCATGCCTTTCTTGGACTCATATCGTACTGCAGGGCATGGATTCCTGATGCATCGGTCCTCATGCAACCACTCTATGATGCTCTCAAATCTGTGCCATTTACCTTGTCAAGTGAGGCCCTGGCCAATTTTATTTCTGCTGAAGCAAGCAATATCCACCACTCCTGCCTTGGGCCTTCCAGATTATGAGAAACCCTTCAAACTGTTTGTGTCAGAAAAGCAAGGCCACGCCACGGGGGTCCTAGCTCAAGCACATGGAGGGCAGACCAGACCCATTGGGTATTATTCTTGCCACTTGGACCCCGTAGCTAGGGGTGGCCCCTCCTGTCTAAGAGCTGTCTTCGCTGCTCAGGCACTGTTGGAAAAAACTTCAGACCTCGTTTTAGCACACCCCCTGCTTCATCTGGCACCGCATGACATTGCTGCCTTCCTGAATCAGGTACAATCCCGACACCTGTCCACGGCCAGACACAAAACGCACATCTCAGTGAGAGATCAATATATTGTAGATCATGAAGTGTAAACATCGATCCCACAATACCAGCTTAAATATATACTGTATATATTTCTCCAGCAGTGCATATTCACCAATAACCTATTCATAGACCAGCATTTATATGTAACTGAACAGATAAGTTAGCCTCAAACCTGCCACCAAACATGGATCCAGGGTGAGTGGAATTCTGTGATCCTTCATAGTGGTTTTCAGGTGTAAGCAGTCATTTCTTCATTGGATCAAATGATGTTACACAGATAGGTATTTTCACACGTGGTATACGGCATATAGTCCTGCTGGTCAGGTTATATATGGCGCCGTCACTGATGTGGACAGTGATGAACCAATAAAGGTTTCTGCAGAGTGTATAGCATATACAGCAGAGCACAGCTCACTCAGACCTCGCTCTGCCTCCACACAGCAGTGACGTCAGGACTCCGCGTAACGTCACTGGTTGCTAGACGCCAGTCGGGGCGGCCCTAGCAACCAGTTTACGGTAAATTAATTTTCATTCCGAGACAGAGCCTAGGGGGGCCTTATTTTCGGGGGATGCCTTATTTCACCCAGAAGGAAACCTGTAAGTAGGTCTTATTTTCGGAGGATGTTTTATTTTTGGGGAAACACGGTACCTTTGGTCATATGTCTTGTTATCATTATCATGTGTATTATTTGTCATTTTTGCATGTGAAATCCAGATAATTATTTAGAAAACAAGCGGACTATGTCCTAAATTTACTTCATGACCTTGATTTCTATTCTATAGTTCTCTCTGACACTATTCCTCCTATTCCCTCATCCTACACCCATTCCATCTGGTTTTTCAATAACCCTTCCTTGGTGCTGGGACTATAGCATGTGTGGCGTCACCCCGGACAACCATCACATTCTCTTTTATCTTTCTCTTTGGTTGTGGTGAGGTTCTCTCCATTTAAATGCTTCTGTTTTATCATGTGTTTTGATTCGGGTGTTTTTTTTTATGCAATTAAAGATATATACAATTTTCTTATTACAAGCCGCAGTTTGACCTCTTTTGGACCTGCTTGACTTAGGCATCTTGTGCCTCTGTCAGTGTTTCCTTTTTTTTCTCTCAAACTATGTTTGGGTCCTGAGGACACCACATGGCCAATTCCATGTGAGTCGGCATATCCTTTATGTATATGGGGGCCACTATTTAGTTTATTAATTTTCGACCCCCCTCTTTCTTAGGTATTCTCACTACAGTCTTTAGTTGGCAGTGTCCCAGTTACCCCCCTTTTCCACATGGCCGACAGCCTATGCTGTTACAAACATGACAGCCAAGACCACGGCTAAGAAACTACTGAGTGAGATAGTCTGTAGATTTGGGGGGTTCCAGAGGTGATAGAGAGCGATCAGGGTCCAGCCTTCACAGCAACCCTTACAAAAGAGATTTAGACAGCACTGGGGGTTCAGTTGGCCCTATACACCCCATACCACCCTCAAAGCAGCGGGAAGGTAGAAAGGATGAATGGGACTCTAAAAAACAGGATGCTAAGGATGGCCCAAGAGACTAACATGCGTTGGCCAAACAGTTTGCCCATTGCCCTGTTTAGTGTCAGACACACCCCACGGGGGAAACATGCCCTGTCTCCTTATGAAATTTTGTTTGGTTCAGCCCCCCAGACTTGGCTGTTACTTCCCACAGCAGTTGCAGTTACAATCTAATGTGTTAACTAGCTTTGTCACACGTTTGTCTAGAGGATTAACCAATATCCATTCTCGAGTGTTTTTCCTCCATTCCAGATCCAGAGACAGACTCAGGAACCCACAGTCTTCAGCCAGGAGACTGGGTGTTGGTGAAGAAATTCACGAGGAAAAATTCACTTGATCCCCGATTCGAAGGACCATTCCAGGTGCTGTTGACCACAGCTACATCAGTCAAGCTAGAAGGGAAAAGCACCTGGATACACGCCTCTCATTGCAAGAAAGCCCTATCTCCTGAAGACAAGACCCTGCCTGCACCACGATGATTGTGTTGTATATCCTTTTTCTAATAAGTTTGATAAAAGCTCAGCAGGTGGCTATCACCAAAAGAGGTGCTCAACATGTGGCCATCACTAAGGTAAATGGCACCATCACATTTTGGTACAATTCATCCAACACACAAGTGGCTGCATTTACCTTTGATTTTTGTAGTATGATACCCATATATTGCAACAGGCATGGACCGGGTTGGGCACAGCGGGCTTGAATGATGCCAAGCCTGGATCAGATATACATATGTATAATGGATGACTACTGGGAAAAGAACTGTGACTATTGGGTATCAGTGGGATGGAGTACAGGAGCAGGTTGGCGGTATCAACTACTGAGTGCCTTAAATAAATAAGATAAGGTGGGGAGCCTCTCATTAAACGCATGTCTATCTGGAAGTCAGGGTGCAGTGATTACAAAGAAAGACTCTTCCTGAATATTGAGAATCCCAGCCCTGGTGATGCAGGACTTTACTGGTTAGGCAGGTACCCATCGTATGGTATACCTCTGACAAAATTTTACCTAAAAGACATGTATAACCAATCAAAATCAACAACAAATCCCTTAAACTTTCCATCACTGCTATAAAAGACATGATAGCAATAGCAAACCCTACCTTTGAAGAGACAATGGCGGCTGAAACCGGGTTCTCTGACACTAACCTGTGGCTTGAGTGGATGAGATTTAGTGCCAACCAACATAACAGAAGTAATTGCTAAGTCTGTGGTAGTGCCAGGCCACATTTAGGGACAGTCCCTCTCCAGATCCCACAAGACAGTGAGGAATGTTTCCTCAGCCTGTTCACTAATACATCCACCAATCACTCTGCGTGCGAAATGTGGAAAAAGGAGTATCCTATAGTTACCCAAATCCCAAAGCCTGGAGAGGGCATCGCCATATATCCCGGGAACTACTCCTGTTACTCTAATTACCAGGGTAAGGGAGGGTTCCTGGGTAATTTCACCGAAGGATACTGCTCTACCTACAGTAGTATCTCAGGGAAGTTAATACAAAACCAAATCCAGTCCCTTGGTGACATATACTGGATCTGGTTAGAGGGAACCTGGACCGGTGAATGTGCCCTTACAAAGGTCATTATGCCTCTCCATATCCTAACAGAAGATACCTCTGACACACACACTGACCCAGCACCTAGTCACAGGAGGAAGCGGACAGCTCCCTCCAGAAGCTTTGACCCTCATGTATACATAGATGCCATAGGGGTCCCAAGGGGGGTCCCTGATGTATTCAAAGCCAGGGACCAGGTAAAAGCTGGTTTTGAGTCTTTAATCCCCATAATAACTGTTAACAAGAATGTAGATTGGATTAACTACATATACTATAACCAATAGAGGTTCGTGAATTACACCAGGGATGCTTTCCAGGGAATTGCTGACCAATTAGCCCCACCTCCTATATGACATTCCAGAACCCGGGTGGCCTTAGACATGGTGTTAGCTGAGAAAGGAGGTGTCTGTAAAATGATAGAAAGAACAGAAACCTGTTGCACCTACATTCCTGACAATACCGGCCAAAATGGTAAGGTTACTCTAGCTATAAAGAAATTAGAAGATCTGTCAGTGGAGCTGAAGAAGAACTCAGGTATTACAGACCAGTGGGATCAATATTTTAGCTGGATGAGTGGGTGCTCGCCCAAATCGGTGTGACGGTATTAATAATTCTAGTTCTTTTAGCCCTGATTGTTTGCTGTATCCTACCATTTGAAAAGAAGGTAATGAGCAAGGCTGTAGACAACAGCACACCTACATTTCTCCATCAAGAAGAGGAGGACCCCCTTACGATGGAAGAGGATAAACCCTTCGCCCCTCGATGGTCCCTCCCCGCCAATAGTAATCTTACAATCTCGTAGGGATAGCATCTGACTTCCTTGTGTACAAAGTCTGTGGCAAGGGGGGTGATGAAATAGTTATCACCTGTCTAACGTACAGCATAAAAGAGTTCCAAGGTACATAAGAACAGATGAGCTAGGTTTTATAGGGAGTAAAATAGTCATTTTAAGGGGGGACTGTGATGGATATGGTAAAATCCCTATTTTGTTTCCTGTTGAATATATACATTTTTCTATACATTTTATACATATCTACTTCTATACTTTTTCATATGTCTAAATATTTTGTATTAATATATATATATATATATATATATATATATATGTGTGTGTGTGTGTGTGTGTGCATATCTTTTGTGTCTGCTGGGCTTTGTAGTCCTCCTTAACTCAAAAAATGTCTGCTCAGCAAACCCCTCCTTTCGAGCTGTGAAGATCTTGTAACTACGCCCTGGATATGTGAGGGAGTAAAGAGATAACAAGCGGCAACCAAGCCTCGGGCATCAAGTTCCTGCACTCTTCCTGTATTTCAGCCAACCAAGATGTGCCTTTTAGATTGTGACTGTTTCTACATAATAGTGATGTATACTCTATTGTTTTCTGTGTATAAAAGGTTAAGCACCGCCCAGGGGTGGATTGATCATTTGAAAACTCGGGCACTACCCAAGGGCCCGGGGTCAGTAGGGGCTCCATGAGATGCCCCTG